ATCTGCTCAAGCATCGGTTCTGGCCACACACCAGCAGCAACTAAACCGACTTACCTCGCTAACGGAGGAGATGGTAAAGACGTTGCAAGCCCTTCGTCTGCAAGCACCCGAAGCTCCCGCCCCTCCTTCGAATCCACCACTTCATGCCCCGGTTGCACCTACCTCCACCGCCAGCCCTCGTCTGGCGTTCCCCGAGAAGTTTGATGGCTCACCCTCAAAATGTAAGGGTTTCTTACTCCAATGTTCCATGTTTGTTCACCAACAACCCATGTTGTATCCCACAGACGATAGTCGCATCGCATTTGTCTGTTCGCTTCTCACTGGAAGGGCGTTGGAGTGGGCTACCGCGGTGTGGAATGAGAATCAGACTATTTTTCCTTCCTTCTCGGCCTTCATCCAGCGGTTTAAGGAGGTGTTCGAACATCCTGCTGATGGAAAGGAGGCGGGTGAGCAGCTGTTATCGTTACGCCAGGGCAGAGGTTCGGCGTCGGATTACGCTCTCTCGTTCCGCACTCTCGCTGCACAAACAGGGTGGCCGGAGGATCCTCTCAAACTACACTTCCGCAGAGGTCTGAGCATGGAACTGCAGTTAGAATTAGCCTGTCGAGACGAGGGGAGATCCTTGAATCAATTCATCGAACTGGCCATTCGGATTGACAACCTCCTTCGCTCTCGTCGTCAGACCAAGCACTCGAAGCTCCCGCCCCTCCTTCGAATCCACCGCTTCAAGCCCCGGTTGCACCTACCTCCACCGCCAGCCCTCGTCTGGCGTTCCCTGAGAAGTTTGATGGCTCACCCTCAACATGTAAGGGTTTCTTACTCCAATGTTCCATGTTTGTTCACCAACAACCCATGTTGTATTCCACAGACGATAGTCGCATCGCATTTGTCTGTTCGCTTCTCACTGGAAGGGCGTTGGAGTGGGCTACCGCGGTGTGGAATGAGAATCAGACTATTTTTCCTTCCTTCTCGGCCTTCATCCAGCGGTTTAAGGAGGTGTTCGAACATCCTGCTGATGGAAAGGAGGCGGGTGAGCAGCTGTTATCGTTATGCCAGGGCAGAGGTTCGGCATCGGATTACGCTCTCAATCCTTGAATCAATTCATTGAACTGGCCATTCGGATTGACAACCTCCTTTGCTCTCGTCGTCAGACTCGGCTCTCTTCGGCTCCAGCCGGCGCGTCATCGCCACTTCCTGACACAGAACCCATGCGGATCGGCTTTACTCATCTCAGAGGAGAGGAGAGAGAGAGACGCATTCGCCAGAATCTGTGCCTATACTGCGGATTATCTGGACACCTGAGAGCTCTTCACCCCGAACTTATCCGCCTCTTCGTATTCAAATCCCCACGTACACCTGTCATTCTGGGACTGCCTTGGCTAGAGAAGCACAACCCCTCTATCTCATGGTCCGAGGGACAGATTACACAGTGGTCAGAGTCCTGCCGTCAGAATTGTCTCCACGCTACTCCGGTCAGAAAGGAGAGGGATTGCACGCCTGTTTGTCAGCTCCCTGCAGAATACCCCGATCTCGTGTAGGCCTTCAGTAAAATAAAAGCTTCTCAACTACCTCCTCATCGCATGAGTGACTGTGCCATGGAGCTCCAACCTGGTTCACATCCTCCCAAGGGGAGGGGGGATCTGCGCAGTGCTTACAACCTCATTCGCATCCGTGAGGGTGATGAATGGAAGACTGCATTCTCTACAACAACTGGGCACTACAAGTATTTCGTTATGCCATTCGGGCTTGCCAACAGTCCTTCAGTGTTCCAGGCCTTCATCCGTACCACTCAAATTAGAAAACATTATTATAAGCTCACCATTGTGAATCGGGCTAAAGTAAGGCGATAGTTTTGAACAGTGGCTGGCTATGTACTTGCTCAAATATTTGATTTTGGATCATTTTTAACCAAAAAAAGTTACGGACTGCAGCTTTAAGAATACCCTTATAATGTGTTATAAAAATGGCTTCATAGAAAGGGTTACCATAATGTACAACAACTGCAAACTACTAATGAATTGTGATTTTTATCTCAACATGTTGTTTGTTATGATGCATAAATATCTATTTTAACAATAAAAAAGTAATATACAGTGCACAATATACAGTGACGCATGTGCAACAACAATAATGTACATAGTTCTGATCTACAGTCTTAACATAATATACATATACCATAATATAATGTATTCTTAATTATAATATGATTAGGTTCTATTAATATCAAAGGCTATATGCTTAATAGCAGTGCTTGACACATTTTGAATCAGGGGGTTTTAAAATGTGCACCATGTCTCTATCGCCAAAGGGGTCCTTGCCCTGAAAAACCTTGAAGACCCCTGGTTTAGAGCATCAGTACATCACTTGCAAATAGATGAAGAATTGGTGTCTAAAGCTCCAGTTTCCAAAACATCCAAGCTGGAAGCTGTTAATGTTTCCTGGGAAAATGTCCTTGTTATGCTTTACAAATGTGTGCCATATTGAGCATAATATCCATTTGATTGTGGACATTCCAGAGGCAGCTGCTAAGCTGCGATGTGTTTGCATGAAGGATGGTGTGAAAAGACTTTATCCCTGCAACTAAACAGCAGAACTAGCTCTAGCATTCAGAGAATTCACTGTAGAGAGCACAGGGAGAGTTTGAGTGAGGAGAACCTTGCTTTTGTCCAGCTCGCATGTCTCTGAGAACTCAGAAGGAACATCTGTCTGAACAGCTGAGACTGATTTCGTGAGATCAAGCGCTCTTTGATTCAGACCAACTATGCACGCTCTTTTTTTTTTTTGCTGCATAAATACACTTCACACAACAGAAAACCCAGTTTAATATAGCTGACATCCAGATTTAAACCACATACTTCAGACACTCATGTCTTTGTATGAAACCCTCATCCTTCCATTCCAGGTTGCTGAAATACTAGTGTACCACTTACTGCATAGTGTACACTAAATGCCAACTGCTGTTTAAAAAAAAATGTACAATTTGGAATAGCTATTCTATTAGGGATGCACGATTATGACAAAAATCATAATTTTGATTATCTTCCTTGACATTGTGATTTCAGTGATTAATGATGATTAATGTCAGTCAACGCAATTTCTTCAGTGACTCAGACACTGAACTTTAATTAAGCAGATTCACTGCTGTATTTTTAATAAAACTGTCATTAACAACATTTTACAGTGTGTATGACTGTTGGTTCTTTTAGCAGCATGAAAAATACAACTTTTAATTGTGAATAGATTATATATGGAAAGTGAGCAAAGAGTGCTCCTGTTGTGCCATGTTTTCCTGAATATGTCACATTTTTGTATCATATGAAACATGTAGTGACTAATATTCCAAAGCAACTATTGCAATTAACCTCAAGCACGCAAAATGTGTAAATCGCACACGCTTGGGTTTGTGCCGCATGTTTATTTGTGTAGCGCATTTCAAACAAATCAGTTTCAGTTTCACTTTAAATAATTTCCTTCATGCTTGGCATTTATAATGTTGAATGCCACTATGTTTGTTTTGTACTTATATTTTGCATTCCTGTTCTGAATACCATAATTTTTTAAGCATTTGTTATGGCTTGAGGGAAACTAAAATACATGTTTATAGTGTTTATTATGTGTGTTCCAAATACTTTGTTCCCTCTGTATTTTATATCATTTCTGAATGCAATAATAAAATATGAAGTATATACTGATGCAACTTACCTGTGTTTTTTTTCTCTCTCAACAATGAGAGACTTATTAGTCATATGCAACTTATTTTCCAGAAAATACGCTAATCACAGATCACAATGAACAAACATTTTGTTTTGAACAGATTTCTTCTCACAGTGATTCAGTGCTCAACACTGGTGACACTGCTTAACGTGCAAAAATATATTGTAAGTTGTTGCCTTTGATGCAAGAGGAGTAAATATAAAGATAATGCTGTAATCCACACTTTTTTACGAATCAAACTGTGATTGTTTTTATAATTTGTTGGACAGCCCTAATTTTTACCATATCTTTAAATTGCACATAGTAGTATGCTAGTATGCTGTTCTAAGTTAAGCTATTATGCACTATAAACTACCAAAACTTAAACTCTTGCTCAAAAATATTTGAACTTGAGCTTCATATTATCTATATCTGAATGCTGGAAATGCTGTGAAAGTGGATTCTAAGAGAGTTTTAATTACAGAAACGAGGACGAGCAAAGCAGCTCTCACAAAGCAGGATCAGCTTTCATAATACAACTGTTGCTGCGCTATTTTGATGAAGGAAGTGTTTGATGAAATAGACGTCGCATGTGATTTCATGCAGCTTTAAAGTCTCTCGTTACTGAAATGATCCTTTTGTTTCAAAACAGCCACACGTTTGTTCTAATAAGACTTTCCCATGATTCATTTTGGCAAAAACTGATTTAACTCGAGTTCGGCTGTCAGTGGGATACTGAACTGAAGTCTTCTCTATAATCAGTCATCTGAGCAAGCAAGTTGAATAATCAGTGTAAACAGGAACACCATTTTCACCATTTTTTTTCTTATTAATTTTTATCAAAAAAATAAATGAAGAATGTTTCCAGTGTACCTTTGATATAAGAACAGTGCTTGACTTGTAAATGATGAGGTTCTAGAATAAGGACTGGTGACAGGGAGAGGATGCAGAGTTCACACACAAACAACATTGAATGCAAACGGCGTGTTGCAGCAAAACTAGATCACACCCATTTAAATCAGAGATACTCTGAATCATCAGACTCTAGTTAGCCACTGCTGGTGGATGCTATTCATTCAAAATGAACCTTTTTCCATTGATGGTCAAATATATCTGTGTATACTGATCAAATACTTTTTTTTTTATTTCATCACCATAAGCAAAAATAGCAGATTTAAAACTGCATCCATCTGGGGAGATGAATGGGAAAGCTATGTGAAAACTTGCTGTTGGTGTTGACCCATCTGTAGGATCGATCAACTATCTTGGTAACAGCTAATGGTGTGTGTGTGTGTGTCTGTGTGCAGGTCTCTTTCCAGCTGTGCTGAACCTGGCCTCCATGGCAGAGATCAATACCAATGCCACGTGTGGAGAAACAGGACCAGAAATGTACTGCAAACTAGTGGAGCACGTACCAGGACAGCCCGTGAAAAACCCTCAGTGTCGGACCTGCAACCTGAAGAGTGATTATGATTACGGTACAGGACACACACTCACTCACACACACACACACACTCTCTGGCTCTCAGGCTGTGCATAATCCATTTGATATGCTCTAATCAAAGACTGTTTCTGCTCATAAATCACTGCATTCCAGAATCACCGCACACACATGTACTGTACACTGGATTCCTCACTTCACAGGCCTCATAGAGTAGAAAGTATTGTTTTATAGCAATGTTTGATTCATTAACAAACATGTACGGGAAACATCTGACCCCAGTCTGAGCAATTCATTCACAAGCCAGACTGAACTGGTCTGGGGTGCGTTTCCCAAAAACATCGTCAGCCATGGTCTCAAGTTCCGTTGTATACCAACATAATTCAACAACTCAGTGTTCAAACGAACACTCACAAACAGCATCGTAAACTTGTGTGGTTGGATCTACAGCTCTCAACCTGTGGTCAGCACCGTAGTTTCTTGTTAGTGTGGATTTACATACTGTAGATCATGCTCTCAGGCACAATAAATCTCAATTCCATCTCAGTCTATATAATTTAGCATCAACAATCAGCACATCTTTGAAGAGTGTGCATGTGCATGAATGCGTAAGGGAAACCCGGAGTATGACGTAAGAGGGAACAAGTGATACATCAAACATCAAATAAAGCAAAATGAACAAAAATGAATGAAGTAGTCATCTGGTGCCATGCTTGTTACAGCAGCATCTCGGAGATCTCCAATTGATTAATTAGTAGAATCACCACATGTGTGTGATGACATTAACGACAGTCTTAGGCTGCATTTACACTGTGTGGTTCAAGTGACCCAATTTTGTTTTGTGGGACATATATGATCCACGAATGTGTAAACAGGAAAAAAGGTGCATTGATTCCAATATTCTCAGATCCATTTCAGACCTCATTCATGACTGGAAATAAATCTGATAGGAATCGGATATGTGCATTTGCTTCTGCCACGTAAGTGGACAGAATGGATATTCCCCTGCCAACGTGAGTCGTACGTCATCAGTGGCGGCTCCAGGATTTGCTAAGGGGGGTCTTAACAGTTCAGAGGTGGTGCTAAAAATCGAATTAAATTGAGAGAAAGTAATGGATGCCTAAGCTTCAGCTATCTAAGCATGCAAATTCAGCCACCTTGTGTTTTTTATATACAGCAGCTTCGAAAAAGTGGTATTTTGTGTGGTATTAAACTTCTCATATGCCACTGTTATTAGTAATATAACTTCTAATGCCAAGTGCCAAATATGACACTTACAAATTAATACAATTTATGAACGCACATAGAAAAGAGAGAAAGTAGTTTTTTTTTTTCTTTTATTATTTTGTTTTATATTTATAATTTTTTTTTACACATAGCCTATCTATTTACTAATTTTTTGGACCATCAAATGCCAGTCACTCTCAGTGCCAACTGACAGGAAAACATTGTAAATTCTAACAAATTTTTACAATAGATAAAATGCCGACAATTCATTAAACTATTTCCACATAAGCTCTCTTTAAAGAGACTCCTCTCCTCTCCTCTCTCCTCTCCATCCTGAACTTCAGACTGATGTGGCTACGTTTACACTAGTGTGTTTTAGTTTTAAAACGCATCACTTTTGCCACGGTTACGCCTGTTGTTTACACCACTCTGGCATTTTCGACCCTCGAAAATGTGACATGAGTTTTCGGGTTGTGTAGTGTGGACGGAGAACGTTTCTGAAACGCAGTGAAAACGCAAGTGTAGATGAGGATCGTTTTCATTTTAAAATGCCGTTTTAAAACAAAAAAGCCCCAGTGTAAAGAGGGCTTGAGACTGGCGACTTGTGTTATTGTTCTCATCTGCAAAGTGTCTGAAATTTGCGGTCTTTTACTTGATATTAAATAGCGCTCCATCGTGATAGCTGTTGATACTAAACTTAAAATAAACGCTAATGCGCACTGTACCTAAGCGTGCCTAATTGACCCCTCCCCCATAATGTCAATTGTTTATAGGCCACATATTAGGCTTTTAATGTTTATTTTTCAGTGTTAATGAAAGTGACACTGGGAGTTAAAAAACAGGAATATCATTAGGAAATTAAGGGGGTGGGGGGCATCAAAATGATTTATGAAAATTTTAATATTTTACATTTCTTATTATTTGTGATTTATTATTAAATAAATACAGAAGCCCTAGAGCATGACATCATATCCCGTTTGTCCATAGAAATTTGATGTTCTCTCAGTTATTATACGTCAGTGTCACAGCAAATCTTTGCTGTTTGAGAAACCCTCCTAATATGAGAAGTGATAAGAATTTAACTTAATAAGTAATTTTATTAGTATTTTAAAGCAGTATTCTGTATTGCAAAAGACCGATTTTCATGATCATAATGTGAAAAAGCATAATGGTGTTTTGCATGGTATTTATACATCATTGTAGTATGCTTATTTTATTAAAAGTGCCATTGCATCCAGAGGATGACTTTCCTGACTGTATTACAGTAATGAGAATCTAATGAGAATCATCATCATAAAGATGAATGAGAATTACAAACAAACTCAAGGGTGCCAAACTGCCATAATGTGAGTAAGTAATGACTGACTTTTCTTTTTTGGGTCAGCTACTTCTTTAATGGTCTGTAGATGTGCTGCATTGTCTTCATGTAAACTCGTGTTTTGCTTTTGGTTTCATGGAGAAACATGAGCCAGACATGGTGAGAGTCACCTGTCCATCTGTCTTTCAGTCACCTTCGTCTTTTAGGTGCTGCTGGTGTATTGGTTTTTGATGTGTACAAGCTGTTTGAAAGGTCTTAATAAAACATGCGTTGAGTCAGTGGCGCTGTCATCCACACACCTCAGCCATAATGAGTTAGTCTGAGCTCTCTTCAAACACATGCCGCTGCGCCCCAGAGTCACCCACACACTCCCAGCCAGAGAGTGATTAATATAAGATGTAATTAGAGAAAATTAGAGAAAGAGAGAGAGAGATGTGACTTAACCAGCGGGGGAGTTCTTTTAAATGAAACCTAGATCTCGCTCATAAATTAGAAAAGAATATATGCAGTCAAATAAATGATTAAGTGGACAACTTTAATCATCTTTGCCTGATTAAGAATCTGGCTGTAAAGAAAGATTGGGGTTTGTCTCATATAGTTGGCTTTCGACAGGCTCTGTGCTGAGATAAACGTCAGTATTTCAGAGCTTATAAAACTCATCCCTCATTAGAGCAGATCGCTTTATTTCAAAAGACACTTCAGCAGGTGGATTTTATTCAGCGGCAGTCGGCTCACAAAGGTAAAAGCCAGCAGAGACACGTTATTAGTAGCGTTGTGTCCCGTCGTGGTTTAATATGAGGTGTTACGGAGCTTCTCTAAAGGGCTCGTGCCATGAGGAATCAAATCTCGCTTGATCTCTTCAGATAAAAGGGCTTGATGTGCTATGAAAAATGAAATCTTCCTCGCCAGTCCAAAAACACCACTTATTCAAACAAGATTAAATACAAATTCAGATATATGAGTATTAAATTCACCCAGACCTCTTAAAGGCAGATTTTTTGCAGAAACAATTGAATTTTGGTTTTATTTCAGTCAATTAATAGGACTGATCGGTTGTCGTCACGACAGTCTCAGTGTAGACTATGTGCTAAGCACTCTCGCATCAGACACTGTGATTTACTCGTTTTCATATAAACCATCTCGCAGGGCTCTCTGTAGATCTAAAGGAGGGTTCGGCCCTGAACACATGCAGGAGTGTGAATATGCCAGTCTCATTCTCACACACACACACACACACAAATGCACACACACACACAGACACAGA